AAGATCTCATGCTTGAAGATGAGCCGATCGATGCAGTAGATGAGTTCGTCTATCTCAACAGCTGCACAAATCCTAGCTGACTTGAGAAGGATTCAACCGCTTCTCTAACTGAGAAGGCCAGGATCGTGTTTGTCAAGCACAGACATTTATGGCACCAGGATGACGACTTGGCTGTTAAAAGTAGAATGTATACTACTGCGATCCTATCTACCCAAACTTACGGATCAGAAACTTAGTCACTAAGTGTAGATATTCGAATACTACTTGCGTTTGATCAACACTACCTCCTGAGCATTGGGCAAGTTTGATGGGGAAGTCAGGTCAGTAGTGCTGAGGTAGGCGGGATGGTTCTCAAGAAAGGTTACTCTTCCTCCATAGCTCAGGTGATAGTACTCAGCATGTTAATTCACGTACCATATGACCGTTTGCTTTCCTCGTCCAGCTGAGTGTCGGACAGAGAAGGCTCAGTGGCAGTCAGTTAATGAATTGTCAACTCAGTCGTGTTGGTAAGTGCCAACCTTAAAGTGAGTCAATCGAACAGTCAGTGACCCCGACACGCGGCTTTTGGCGATCATCTACCAAATCTGGTAACCAAATCAGACAGATCGAACAGCTGAGAGTCATTTGGATCCCTGCATATAATGCGTGACTACGATTCCCTTATTCTCTTCATCCTCAGTAAATGAAGGTGAGGCATCCAGAATTACTCTGCTTCGTTACGCGGTTTATAGCGATAACAGTGAATTGACCAGAATGTTGCTACATAATTCTGAGCCGTACGTACACCCTGTCGATAATCCCCAATTAGGGCAAAACACAGTGATCTCCTGCCTTGCTTTTTATACCTGAGTAACAGCTCTGTCGTTAGATATGCCATAAGCTCGGGCTTGCTCTGGTCTCGCACACAGCCATCGTAAATNTCTCTTCCACCCTTCACATGGTTGGGCGATTGGAGTTCACTTCTCACGAACTAGGGAAATGTGAATGTACTCGGTGAAGGATGAAGCACTGATCGGAGTGAAAACTAGTTCACGGAGATCCTACATTTCTGATTCTGTATTCCTTGTCAGTAGTGTCACAACTTTGTTTGGCTACGTATCCCAGTAACATAGTGATTCAACTCCATCCTCCTCTCAGTTGTAGACGTTAATCTCCATTCACGGTTCACGTTGTCAGTTAGCCTGTTCGGGCTCGTTTGTTTTCGGCCCACGTTAGTAAATCCAGAGCTACATAAATAAACGCAACTACCTAAACATGTGAACACCTGAAACACTCGCGCAAAACCTCCCACCTGAGGATTGTCATCCGTTGCCGGTTATCTGACCAGGTCATTCGCCACCGGCCGCACTGGAAATTGAAAGATCGTGGGTGCGTGTTATCAAATAGTTTCGAAAATATATCGAGTGTTCGGAGGCTACTACCTTTCAATATGCTATCAGACCAGCTGCTTTAATTGACAGTCTGGATAGAAAGAAGAAGCTTATGTATATAGGCAGCTGGTAACAACTAAACCAACTAACTAACTAAAGTAAATTGCCGCCTTCACAGTGGCCAAAGTGTGGTATCTAGTACGCCGTCCAAGTATAAGCGCACCAGGCTTTGAAAGTGACGACTGATGGACGCATAAAATGTATTACACTTGAACAAATCGTCACAGGAACTGGAAGCAAAGCGGTGAAATCCGCGAAAAGTATTTTTTCAGTCTGATACTGGCTGGACGATCAATTTACTTTGCTACATAAACGTAGTTTCCCCGCTTTTTTAAGTGTAAACTCCTTTCAGGAATCACCTCGCTAGAAGTATGTTGGTTGAAATGCGATATTACAGAAGTTTCTATTGGTCCTCTCCAAAAAGTACTAATAAAACTGAAAGAGAAAACAACCATCCTCGTCATTCAGTATTCATTGGTAAACCTAATATTTGTATAGGAGCGGCCTAGTCAGCTGAACTTTGCACCGAAAAGTGATTGCTTTTCCTTTGTCTTGACGCCGCTTTTGACTCAGTTGGCCGTTACAAACTATGGCAGTATCCGGTCATGGATGGTACTTGTCATAAATCTGTTGTTTAATAAATGTTCCGTAAGCCTGCTCCAGTAGGTCTGTAGATGTCTGCAACTAACTGTACTCTGAGTTCACCACATCAAGTGGCGTCAGGCAGGATCGCCTTCTGTCACCATTCATTTTTATAAATGATGTTCCGTTTGAGTTTACTTGCCTATAACAACTCGGAGGTCAAAATAGTCTCCGAACATAGTCATTTGGTGCGTTGACAACATCGCTGCGCGATTTCTCAAGCGTCTCGAATCCGCAAGACTGGAGGGACTGAGTTAAGATCTCATGCTTGAAGATGAGTCGATCGATGTAGTAGATGAGTTCGTCTATCTAAACAGCTGCACAAATCCTAGCTGACTTGGGAAGGATTCAACCGCTTCTCTAACTGAGAAGGTCAGGATCGTGTTTGTCAAGCCCCGACATTTACGGCACCAGGATGACGTCAGAATGGCTGTTAACAGTAGAATATATACTACTGCTGTCCGATCGACCCAAACTTACGGGCCAGAAACTTAGCCACTGTGTGTAGATATTCGAAGGCTGCTTGCTTTTGACCAACAGAGCCTCCTGAGTATTGTGTGAGTCTGATGGGATAATCAGATAAGTCATACTGAGGTAAGCCAGATGGTCTTCAAGAAAGGTTACACTCCCCCGATAGGTGATAGCACTCCGCACGTTAATCCATGTAGAGTGTACACCATTTGCTATCCTTGTCCGGCCGAATGTCGGGTAGAGAAGACCCAGTGGCAGTCAGTTGATGAATAGTCAACTCAGTCATGTTGGTAACTGCCAATTCTCAGGACTGGAACTTCAAAACGAGGCAATCGATTGGTCAGTGACTCTGACACGCGGCTATTGGTGATCATGTACCAAATCTGGTGGTATCACTGCGGAGCTATATCACTCGTTACCAAATCGGACAGACCGAAAAGCTGAGGTTCATTTGGATCGCTGCATATAATGTATGACTTCGATTCCCTTATTCTCTTTATCCTCAGTGAATGAAGGTGTGGCATCCGGAATTACTCTTTTTCTTTGCAAGGTTTATAGCGAAAACAGTGAATTGACCGGAATGTTGCTAAGTACTTCTCAACCGTAAGTGCACCCTGTCCAGTTCGGGCAAAACATAATTGTTTCCTGCTTTGCATTTTATATCTGAGTAACAGTTTGTGCGTTAGATATGTCATCATCTCGGGCTTGCTCTGGTCTCGCACACAGCCATCGTAAATACACAAACATTGGGACTCTTTTCCGATGAACCTGTTACGACATTTGCAAGGTCACATGCCGTCAGCATGTTCGCTATATGGAAATATCTAATGGGGGTGTCAGTGAACTTTGACTGGAGAAACATGGAGGAGAGTTATGGATCAATTATATCAGATAGCCTCAAAAGCGTAGCCACCTACCCACCTACCCACATTATCAGGAAACGAAACTGTGGCGCGTATAATCATTGTACGGCAAGTATGTGAATATTACAACCAGCGATGATGAACTGCGCAGCCCACCTGTTAGGGGCAGGAACCAGGTAGTTCTGTCTAGCTTGACCAAGGAAGATATGCGAAGAAGACAGGCTTGATGAGACGTCCCTAAAGGACCGTTGAAAACTATCGGTCTGTTTTTTCAAGTGTGTGTAGAAAACGTCTCAACGAGCTAACTGCACAAATCAGGTCAAGTGGAAGACCAGATTAGGAAGAAATTCCCGGACATCTGAAAACTATTATAATGGAATTAACGGTATTGTTCGTTTAGTTGTATTTTCCGAGAAACTCGGCGTTGTGTGGATGGACTAGGCTCACTTTTATCACAAGTAAGTCACCAGTAAATATGTCGGTTAGCAACTTGTTTCCCAAAGACTGTGCACAAAAAGGACTTCCATCTAACTGATCTCTCCCAATGTCACCTAAACAGGGAATATAGCAAAAAGTCCACTCGGAATGGGTCAGGAAGTTAGCCGGTACAGCCACCAGATTCACAGTAATTATTTTGCACCAAAAATCCTTGAAATGAGGAATTCTAGAGGAATTTTGTCCGCTTTAATATGCGCACGTTATTCATGTATATGAGCTCGACCCCATGCAGTCACAGTGAAGCAAAAACAAAAAAATGCATCAGCTTGTACCGGGGAGGAATATCGCAAAACGCAAGTTTCACACTTAAGTTCATGTACATGAGCTCGACCCCACGCAGTCACAGTGAAGCAAAAACAAAAAATGCATCCGCTTGTACCGGGGAGAAATATCGCAAAACGCAAGTTTCACACTTAAAGTTTGTTTTCTTTGGGGATCAAGTTTAACGTCTAACGGCTTGGCTATGGGGCTGCAGAAGTTCCTAGATGCTCAAAGGACAGAAAGGTAACAAACCAGGTAGAGGTGGTTTTCGACAAATGGAAGTGAAACAAAAAGCACCATACGGACTTACCAGTTAGTTTCATCTGCCGAAGTTTAGTTGGGGGAATTTGAGAAGAATTAGAATCTCCAAGTGGAAGCAATTCTTTGTATGTGGTCACTGAGTCATACTCTTGAGTAGTAGATTTGACTGGGCTTGGATTGGGAACAGGGGGAGGAAGCTGGGCTGCGAGCATTTTTCTGGTGTAAGGTATCTCAGAGGGGGTAGCAATATTTTCTTCATCCGACAGAGGTGACGTGGTGTCCCGCACCAGTGACTTATGAGCTCGTTCTTTGTGGGAAGCCCGACGAATTCGCGCACGCCACATATGAAATAACGATGGCATTCTGAAGTGTGGTGAAGAATCGTCAGGAGGTGATGTATTAGAATGTTTTGACACTTGCAGATCTTCTTTAGAAACCTCAGTCTCTGAAGGCACATTAACATCACTTGACCGGAAACGGTCTCTCATCTTGTTCGGTGTTGGAGGAATGCAGGGCTGCTCTGTCCGATAATGACCACGTAAACAACTATCTGAATGATAGCGAACAGTGTGGTAAATTGATGGCACATACTCATCCGCCAAGTTGACTGTCTCCCAATGCCAGTTTGCCCTCTCCGTTTCCAAAACTGCAATTGACCCACAAGAGGTAGACAGTCGACCTAGGCTAATGGAATCCGTCGTAGCAGAACAAGACTGCCGGGCTCGACAAGGAGATCGGCGGCATGCGCATAATAAATCCACATCAAATGCATACAAGTTACGAAACCTCTCGGTGCTCTGTTGGCATGCTTTGTTTGCCTCTAATTGACATTTAAAACTTCTGAACCGTCTCTCCGACACAACGCTTGGTTTGTTTTCCAACGACTCAAACAAGCACCTCCTAGGTAGCTGAACGGGCGTGCCTTCAGACTGCATCAGAGGGCGCAAACAACAAGCGCGTGAGAAAATGTTTCTGCAAGCCGAAACCGTTCGCTTTATCGGATATGAACCTCAAGTAGTCGGTTTTCATTGGTCGATGCAGGCAAACGACCGCCTGAACGAATCGACCAATCGGATGTAGGATGCTTCGACTTCGGTGCGACCAATCGTGTGGCCGCTCTAGAAAGTGGGGCTGACCGACTGAGGTGGGATTTCTGTCTGCGACAAGCTGGTTGTGGACAGGAGTGGTGTATGCTAGGGAAATCAGCCAGCATGGGGACAGGAAGAGACGGAGGTGATAGGATTATGATGGGTGTGAGGGACGTCATCGCAATGGACAGATTAAGTAGCCACCATGTCCAGGGAATCGTTTATCCAAGAGATGAGCCCTGCAGTATCGTTTGCCCAAATCGGAACGGATAATCTTTTCTGCGTGACTAATTTTTCGATTCCTGTCAGCAGCAAGCTAAGGGGCCTTACTCCTGGCTGAATACATCCCAAATCCAGAGGGCAATTTTCTTCACCATGTGGTGTCTGAATGGTTGTCGTAATTAAGCTGGACAGTCCTAACTATCTGAGTGTTTTTTTAAATTTTCTTTGGCTTTATGTCTTCCATAGTTAACCTATAGACCCTTCTCTCCTTTAAACCTAGATCATACCTATTCGAACTTGCTCCGCTATTCTTCTTTATCCCAGAGTTAGTAGGGGTACGAATCTGTTGATAAGTCATATTTCTAGCTTTAATCGCAGTACAAGACTACTCTTTGTACGTGACAAAATGCCGCAACGACTCAGTGTAAAGTAAGTTGGCGGCTTCAACCGGTGTAAACCGAAAAGAAATTCCTCGAAAATAGGATATTTTCGATACCATCACTCTTGAGAGTCTAGTTTGATTGTATATCTCAGCGGTTTCTTATTGATGGTGATTTCGTTAAGTCGGAAAACTTCCAAAGTAGCCAAACAACTCGATTTGAGGAATCATTTGTCAACGTTGTTTTTAATTTGCTTCAATGTGCGAGAACCCGAAAATAAAGGATTTACTGTTTTGTCCCATTGCGAAAAAGTGCTTTTGGACTATTTATTATCTATAGTGAGTCATAAAGTGGTAATCGAGTGAATATTTGTATAGAAATGACGTATAATTAGTCTACTATCGACCAAACAGCGGAAGCACAAAATGTCCTCCGACCTGTCGGTTGTAGTGAGACATTTTCAGTACTGAACTGAACATGTTTATTTACGTATACTCCGTTTACAAATGTTACGGTTTATGACGTGGCACTTGGCAATCATAGACAGGAAGTCTGATGGGTGTGTCCGATATTTTCCCTGAAAGCATCTTTGTTTTGTTGTATTACTGGTGATCACACTTTCTGTTCTGCGTTGCTGCACTATCAGAAGCTGACCTATAGTGTTTAGTGCTCCCAGAGGGACAGAACAGTAGTTGCACTAACCTAATTATGCCGTAGAGGCTGTGTTATGAAGCGCAGAACCTCCATATACCATGAAACCGTAGTGCACGGTGATCATCATCAACAGTAATGTACGAGACAAAAAACTTGTTTCTCAGCAGATAACTGGACATCAAACAGTTTAACACCGCGTGTAGTCAGTGAAACAACAACAACTTCGAATGCAGGAGTCGAAAGGTGGAGAGTGGCGGATTTTCGCAGTTCAATAGAGCTTACAGGAGCTGTGATATATGGTCAGCTCCACTTGGAAAATATACCTTGCAGTTTTAGGCATTCATTCTATTTTTTTTGGAATACTGGGGGGAGGGCGGTAAATTTTTCGTGCAATTGTAGATTTAGCGACGGTAATTTGGTCAGGTTTGTGACCCACCATTTTCTGTTGGCAGCCATATATCTATACTAATACTAATATTGATAAGATTCCAACAACTAGTGCTTTCGGTTGGTATGCCGTGCAAAGTATTGGACCGACAGAATTTCCAGACAAATATTCTTTTACAACCAGTCATTGCAACACTGGGGAAATGACTGTGGGGCGATCGGCCACATGAATTACGGAAATGCCTAAGCAAATTAAAGGGGCTTGGAAACAAATAATTGCATGTAATTCGGTACAAAAGTGGAACATAGAACTGATTAAAACTAGAGTACTCTGCCTGGCTGGTGACTCCCAGGAAGGGGAAACCATAAATGTGTTGTCGACGAGTCTTTAAAAACCTCGTAACTAGCAAGTTAATCAAAGACAAAACTACTATGGATAAACTATTCATCGGTGCATTCCTCAACAGTAATGGACCATTGAATCACAATAAACACCTGTACCGACTATCTGTGGCCAGCTGCAGTTTTCCTCCTCTAAAAGTGTAAATTAATCACAGGTATCATCATATATTTTAACCGACGAACTACCAAGCCCCCGTTCACGACCATTTTAGGCTGGTCATATCAGCTTCACTGTGGGGAGTTGTTACCTCATTTCCGTGTTTTCTTAGAAAGCTTTCGTATAAGTATCTCAGTGTTCGACAAATGAGAGATCGTCTCCACCAAAAGATGGATGTTGAAGATGACTACTTATGATGAAGAGATTAGGTAAGCAGCCCTTTGCATACCTCGGGTAAGAAAAACGTTTTGTATAGCTGATATACACTGCTAATCTTTCTGCACTTCAGCGGTGGCTCCGTATGTTGACAAAAGCACCTGCAAACATCAACTACCCCACCAGCAGAAAACGCAGAGCTGCCGACGTTAGTTCTCCATACTGTTGGGCATGCGGTGACCTTGCGGGTCTTCAGTGTTCATGAAGTGTAATGAACACGCAACGAGGTGGATATAAATACCACCTATCGACTACATCACTTGGCTAACCTTGCCATCTTGCCTCCTGTTAAGCAGTCGACGACAAGTCCAGTTCAAGGAAGCATCCAAGGGAAAAATCTGAAGACATCCCTGCCCCTTACTACTAAGTCGGATTCAGCGTACTTTAAAAAACAGGGACTCGTGCTTTAGGAACATCATTAATTGCAAAATGGGACTACGGCAAGAGTTGCTCAGAACATGGATGAAGTTCATTTAGATGGTGCTTGATTCAAATCTCGTGGGCGACTTGAACAGACTTGTTTGGCGGGGCATGCTAAATCCATGAGCTGAAGTCGTGACCAGCATCCTTGCTGACCTGATTTGTTCGCCTTTGCCAAAGGTCATGGCCTCAGATGTAACAAATGCGGTGGATACGGTTTGGTTACATTAATAGTAAAGCTGTCATTTGAATCGGCACTAACCATCAACGTGGACACGCCATTGAGGCAAGCAAGTTTAGGCCGCTGTCGGATATCTGGTTACTTCCTAGGAGAGCTAGGGCCATTGTCTTTCATACCCGGCTTACGAACCAAGCAGGAACGTAGGGTCACAAGACAGTGCATAAGTTAATTAACCTGAGATAAGGCACCTAGCTGATGAAAGCTTTCCTTAGAAGGGTGTATAATTTCAAACCATGACAGAGTGACCTAAAGCTTCATTAATAAGGGTATTCTTAGTCTTTGGACAAAACAGCGTGACAACATGCATCATCTGTCTTCATTGGTAGTGCCCAGCTATTCCAAGGCCTTTGAATAGCATGAGATGACATTGGAGAGTACTTTCGATGTGGGCCTAGGCATCGGTTCACCTAGGTGGAGTTGAGACTACCAAAATAGGTTGAAAAAGAAGCGGAAGCCCAGATGTGTAAGATGGAGACTAAGGGCTGACAGAAAGACTCGACGAATTCTCTCGCCTGAATACCATAATCGTCGGGTTGGAGCCGGAATTTACCGACGACTTTCTGAGGGGCTATTTACTGGATGGGATGTTGAAGAATTTCAGTACCATCGGTGAGCATTTCACACGATTTAAACAATGCACAAGCAATTGACATCACCCAGGAGTCTTGGAACACAAAGGATAGGGACATGCACACACCCTGTGTGCACTAATTACTCGGGGTTGAACAGAAATAAAGTGGCTTTCGGCTTGCTGATTTGATGAGGTTCAGGCTTGGCGATATACCACAAGTTTTCCAATGAAGAGTCCCAACTTCGTTCAGTGTAAGTATTCAATAGTAGGAATCTCATGAAATATCCTTCGGGAAATCAAGCAGCTATCGGGATTTCTAAAATCAACGATTTTCTTCATGAAAATGACTACAAAAATCTAGATGAGATCTGTCTCCACAGAGGATTCACATTTGTCAAGACAGTGGAGGAACATCCTACACAATCGCACTTATATTATTTCGTTTGAGGATGAATTAGCTTATTGATTTTCTAGATTCACAGTAGTTCAAGCGCGGCCGTCACACGGTCGTATTAGAGGCGCAGTCTTAAAGGAAAGGTCATTAGAAAGAAGAGTTTGTGCATGTCAGCATCTACCACTGGATTGGTATTCTCTAAGTCTTCAGTGTTGTAATCCATGTTTGAAAAGTCTTAGAGCTTGAACATTCAAAAATGTCAAGTTTTCCCGACAGGTTGAGGAGTGGAACGGAAACCTGGTGACATTGTGCTCCATTATTACTGTTGCTTCTGGTTCATGAAAAGTAACAGGTGGAGATATTCTTGTAGCTGACTCATCCTCCGAGAGCTTGTCACCAATTCATGCATTACTCAGTTTAGGCATGAGAAAGGTCAAACAAAGGTCAACCTTATTTAATATGCATACACTGTTGAAGCCTGGATTGGAGCTACTCAGATTCCTTGATTAATTGATTAACACGTTCATAAATACCGAAGGAAAATGTGGCCTGTTAAAGTTGTTCCACCGGGTAAACCCTTACTGATACGGTATTGCACTTACATTCTTCTTTCACAGAGCGCAAGTGACTAGTTATGGGTGTTTACTGACAGGCGGCAAACTGTTTGGTTTCTGCACCTTCCTTACACCTTGACGAGTGTTTAACAGTTGCATGTTCTCATCATGTTTTAATTGCGTGTGTCCTTCGTTCACGATATGCTACCGTTCTCGGCTAATTACTGCTAGTCTTCTTTTAACATCACCATCAGGAGCATCACGTGACTTGTGATGCATTCAAAATCGCTTGGTGCGTGTCCCCCCCTCGGCTTGTGATCACAAAGTCGTGGAAAAGTCTTGTGAAGCTTGTCTGACACACCACTTCCGCAGTTCCCCGGATTATTTGCACGCCAGTTATCGTTCGAAGGTGTTGAAGAAGAACGCTTGTTGAGAAGTCACGGGATTTAAATAGATTCCAACATTTTTGATACGGAGAAGGCACACGCATGTATAATTCTCAATAGCTCACCTATTGTAGATGACAATGGTCCGTGGGGTCAAGAAGTTCAGGCTGAACGCTGAAACAGCAGCTTCATTGTTTGATATGTGATGAACTGACAAATGCCATGACGAGCAGCTATTTGGCAATATAAAGAATGCTCTTCTACTCTCGGGGTCAAGTAGAAACAGTCGTATTTATCTGGACTAAACATAGGGTTGCGTGGCACCAGACCCATGGCTGAGTTCCGGTCTGTGCCTCATGTTTTACTAAGTAAGATATTCCAGGTATCTCAGTATATTTTACTAGAGGTTTCTAAACGCTTTTCGATAGCACACAACCGGTTTTGCCAACCGAGTGCAGTTTGGTGTCTGAGTAGGATATAAATTTGACAAACTGGGAAATGTCTATCTGAAAAGTCCCAAGATGGACCGAACTCACCTTACACTATGGACCACTTCTCAACAGCATTTTGTGTAGTGTTCCGACAAAACCAAAGGCCCTATTCTTGTCGTGTAAGGAATACGGACAAAATCTTCAAGTGAACGGGCCCTGAGTGACCATAATTTATTTTTGCAAAGTATTTTTGAATACGATTAATCCGGAAGTTGCTAAAGCACATGAGACTAAGCAAGCGACTTGGAAGGGATGCACGAAAACTATGAAAACGGGAGTCACGGGACTGGTGTGGGAACGCACGAGGTAGAGTCAGGTCAACGGACAGAAACCCAAATGATGTTATGAATAGTGTTTCGTATACAAAATGGGGCGGGGTGGGTGAGTAAGCACAGTACCGTAGTTTTTACTCGACGAAGGACACTAGTAAGTGTTTTCTGCCCACCGAAAATCCTGAATGTATCAGCTTTCTGGTAGAACTGATGTACTCTGGTTGTTTTTTTCTAGAATGTGTCACAGATCGTATGTAGCTATTTTGGTAAAGTCCGAGGTAACTCCTGAGATGACGGACAGACATCTCTCAGACAGAGAGAGAGGGAAATTTTGAAAGCTATTTCGAGAAGGCCCCCTTAAAGAAGCAGTCTCACAGAAATGCCGCATACTTATCGGATTTTCAGTCACCCAGAGATAACCATTGTGCTTCGTTGGACTGAGAATTTCAACATCAGGCAACGGAAACTTAACCTAGGTACTCGACAGGAAATGATTTTAACATCAGTCTTACACTGGCACAGCTAATGAACAGAACTTCAGCGTTTCCTTCCTCCCTTTCCCACATCCTGTCCCTAATCTTACACTGTCTGCTCGTAATTGCATTTTCCCATCCAGGGCATAACGTCACATGACTTCCTGCCCGTTGACCTGATTACTGCCGTTTACATTCACACCTCACACTCATAACTTCCGTTTTCACAGTTTTCCGCATCCTTTCCGCATCCACGTATTTTGCTACTCCCCGGAATGTCTAACCATATTCACTGTGCTGGCAGTATGTAGATGTCGGAATAGGAATTCGTGCTGTGAAATATGCTCAAACAACCTTGTCAGAACTTGGCTAAATTTATGCCAGCTGTAGATTATGGGCACAGCAAGGGGTAGGATAGACGTCTGAATGTTTGGATACCAGTATTTTCGGCGGTAGCGTTAGCATAGTACCTGCATACTGCAAGAATTTGTCATTTATTTTCTTGACGTTAAGGAGCTATTGGTAGGCACAAATGAATGGATCGGGTTTCCGGAAGGATTAGTTTATATTCTGTTTGATTGTTGGCAGCAGTATGCACACCAATTTCGAATTCACCGATCCCGTGATAGAACGATTCCGAACCTTAGTTACTAGATCGGACAACTGTTCTTACAAGATTATCCCACTCCTACCAAACCAAATGACTGCTACGTATCCCATATGCACATGAATCCAGTCCCAGAAGAGAGACAACCACATAGAGATTATTGTTTTGATTTCCAGTGGAGTCGTTGACTCAGAAAAACCACACACTAGTTCATAATCGAGTGGCAATCCTGAACGCGCTTAAAACAAGCGTAGCAGAAACACTGAAAGCACTGTGACGTTGTGGCAGAAACAACACTGAACTATTCCGGACCACGTGACAACTGGCTGGACAATTTTGAATAGTAATCAATAGCACATAGAACTGATGAAGACAGGAGCATTCTAGTCGGTGAAAATAGATGGTGAGTGCCCAATGCCCTATCAATCATTCTCGATTAATTAGGTAAGGGATAGTGGTTTCCGATGTGTACCTTATCCTAATCAACATTACCTAGTGACTTAAGCTACGAAGCTGTCAGAAAAGCAGGTTCACCATAGAAACACAAAACAACACTATGAAAACAAGTAATCCCTTTACTATTATCTATAAAAATCACAAGTTTCCCAGGTTGAATCATCTTTTTGGTGGGAGCTGTGCTAAATAAGGGTCCCCAAACTACATGCATTTCACCTTTTTATGGTTATTTCTTTAGGTTGTGTTTGCTATTCTAAGCAGATATCCTAAGTCTCCGGCAGCACAGTTCACTTATGATGACGAAGAATAGGGGACGTTTAAAAGAAACTTTCATAAGGGGAAAACAGGTTTTTTTAAAGACGGAATTCACTCATGAACTATCGTATCCATCGAGTCTACTCTCTTCTGTTTTCCTCACTGTGTTCGCTGTCTGGCTAGAAACTATTGTCTTACACGATTCAAAGGACACTATCGCTGTCGCTCGCCAAATCAAATAAGAAAGATATTCCTATTGGGTTATTTTTCCATTTGTGTTTCTAGTTTTCCAATATGGAATCACCTGCCAGAGTACGGACGGAGTAGATAACTGCTGAACAATTATAGTGCCAGGAAAACACAACCAAGATGAATCCACATAGACGGGTTGGAGTAATGCCAAGATCAACAAAAAAAGAAGGGGACACAGAAGCCACACAGTCTCCTGCTCCTCCTGCTCCTCTTCCTCCGCCTCCTCCAGAGACGGAGGCTGATCCGGTTGCTCCTGAAGCACATTTTCTTCATATCCCAGGTGGGATAACTGCATACACCTTGTCCAAATGGCAAGTCAAACTTGATTTACCGTATATCAATGGTGTGCTGGCTGTTGGCTACACAGTGATTGGAGCGTTACTTTGCTTTTTCTCTCTCGTTTTACTACCTTACAATGACTTTTCCAGAGGAACGCTTCACTGCAAGGAAGGCTACTGTGCCTACAGGGCTAGCAGTGCGTCACAGTTGTTGTTCAACCATAACACAATGACCGACTTCCACCCGTACAACTGGACCATGCTTATGACAGGAGTTTTCTTACTGGTCTACGGGTTAGTGGTATGGTCGAAAATCACTTCCCACGTAATCAATGCAGGCTATGCGCTGAACGTGGCGACGCTGATCTACACAACCTATGCGACAGTGTTATCCTATTATCACTGGGACAATCCTCCCTATAAGGTTTTCTCACCCTTCTCATTCACTGGAGTCCTACATTCTTTCTTTGGACCTATTCTACTCCATATGACCACCCTCTGTCTTCTGGTTCAGGCGATTATCAATGTCCCTGGCGTATATGTTCATGGCATACATTACTATCCGGAAATCGCACTGGATCCAACCGCCTCAGAACATACCAAGGTCGGTTAAAAAATACACAACCAGTGAACAGAATCAACTGTAAATTGTATTCTTCACCGAACATACCCACTTCTCCTGTAGAAGGTTTTTTCTCATACCTGGAGGCTCAGGAGCAGACTCACTGTAAAACAGTTCGGCAAATTTGGGGCGTTTCTTTAATCGGATGATTTTAGAGATAGCCTCGCTTCCGGTCTATTAACATAGTGGGGGGGGGCATTCACCCATTCATTGGCTTGTGGCCAAATTGCCTGGGGCTGAGGACAGGCCTACGACACAAAGGTAAAACTAACAGTGAGTGTTTGCCAAAACAAATACTCGATTTCTAAACTTATAACACGATCACTCATAAATAAATATTACAACCAACTCAAATGAGAAAGAGCCTACGAGGGAGTGCTTCACGACCCTTTTTCACCCTGATTGATTCCACTGTAAAGAGTTGAAACTGGCTTCTTGACCAGATATCCTGTTCAGATGTTTCCATCAACCTCGTAAGTAGTGTCATATCGGGGGGGGGGGGGGGGGGCATTTTCG